GTGATACCATAGCATAGAATCATAGAATCACTGAATTGAGCCCAACCCCTTGCAATCAACAGGGACACCTACAGCTTGATCAGGGTGTTCAGAGCCTATCCACACCAACATTAAATGTCTCTAGGAATGAGGCATCCAACACAATCTGATTCTCTGCTCTTTTTGTGTTCCTACGCCATAGACATGACTCTTCCCCTCCAGCAGACAACCCTAAACACAACCCAATCAACCAACCAAAACCTCTGACTTCCTTTCTCTTGGTGTAATATGGAAAGAGCATGTTTGCCACCTGAAAGTCAAACCCATCTTCTTTGTATGCCACTAACATCAAGGAGAAATTTGGTTCATTCTTTGTGAATGATTTTCCCTTTAAAATTTTTTCTTGTATTTACTTATTCAAGCACGTTATTCCATCCAAAACCAGCTCCATGTCACGGCATCCCAAGCTGCTTCTCTCTTGCAGCCTATATGAACGAAAGCCCATCACATGGCAGTACCTCTGCAGCACATCGTAAACTGTGCAGCTCACAAAAAGCAATTCAAAATGAAGAACAACCTTTCCCTACAACCTTTTCAGAACTCCGCATGGACATCAGCCAGACACAAGACTGAGCTGCAGAGGTTGCATTAAACTCCCCATCTGCTCTTCATGCCTCTCACCACTGATTTATAACCCACAGTAAAGTCATTTGGTCCAAAACAAATCGTCGTGGCTCAGATGAGTGCACAAGAAACCAGCTGAGCCTTTTCTCCCAGTGTCCCCAGGCAGAGAACGTGTCCTAGCCAGGAAAAATTGCCCAATATTTAGGATTCCAGAGTACATGATACCTGCAGCTATGCCACTCTCCAAATAAACCAGTAAAGCCAGATTTTGTTCTCATTTATGACACTTTTTAGGCATTGTCTCAGTTGCTCTGGGCACAACTATCCCTTTACTCTTGTGTCAACGATGGCAAAGCATCCCTGAGGGGCTCAGCAGCTGTTTCAAAAACTCGGAGCAGTGTTCAGAAGGACACTTACAAGTTTGTTTTCACCTTCCAGGAAAACTGCTTTCTGTGGGGGCCCAGCTCCTGGCTGCAGTGCTTTGCTCTGCCCCTGTGCTGAAAACTCCTCCACGGAGACCCTGCACTTCCCGTGGGCTGCCTGCCCGCTTGCTTTGGGCAAAGACCAGCTTCGGGTGCTGGAGAGCGGTGCGTGTCAGCTGCGTGTTAGAGGGCTGCCATGGGACGCTGCGCCAGCCGTTAGGACGGGCACGTACGATGGCATTAGTGATGACTTACATCCAAAAACCAGCGGAACAGAAAGATTTCGGGCAATCTGCGAGGGGAACCCGCAGCTCACCGCACCAGCCGTCCCATGGTGTCGGGCCAGAGGCGGCTGCTCCCCTCCTCCGGCCGCACCGCACCGCCCCGGGGCCGGGGGCCGCCCGCGAGCAAGGGACGGGCGAGGGGCGGGCCGGGGGCGGCGCTGCCTGCGGGGCCGTACGGGACGGCGGCGGCAGCGGAGCCGGAGCCGGAGCCGGAGCCGGGCTGGGGCGGCCGCGACGGAAGCGGAGCGGAGCCGGGCGCGGTGAGCGGAGCCGGAGGGAGGGGGTTCCTCGGAGCCCGGCGTTGCTGCGGGTCTGGTTCTCTCCCTGAGGGTTTGTGGTTCGTTTTTGTTTTTTTTTCTTTTAAGGGAGGTCAGCACTTGGCTTGGGTTTTGTTTTATTGGTTGTGGGTTTTTTTGGTGTTTTGTTTTTGGGTTTGTTTTTTTTTTTTCTGTTGTTCCGCTCGCTGGCGGGGCCGTGCCGCTGGTGTTGATACTCGGAGCTGCGGGGGCTGCCCCGCTTTTGCCGCTCCGGGTCACCTGGTGCCCTCCTGCCGGAACCCAGAGCGGTCGCCTTTCACGAGAGTTTGACCTCGGTGTGCACCGGGCCCGCGTTTGGTTGGTCCCAAGGGTGCTGTGGCAAGATCCCGGTTTTGTCCTTCCCGAGTCCGCGCGTTGTCAGAGTGCTTGGATGGAGCACTTTCTCTTTTCGGAGGAACGGCTTTGGCTGGAGGCAGGCAGGCAGGGATGCACAGGTTGCTTTCTCCTTCGCAGAGACGCTGCAGCTGGGGTTCGGATGGTGCAGAGCGTTTGGTGGGCATTGTGCATCCCCTCAGTGGCTCTTTGGGCACAAGGGGTGGTTGCCACACGTGTGCTCGTTTGCAGTTTGTGGGAAGACGACAGCAAAGGAACTGCTCCCTCTGCAAATGAATCCTAAAACGCCTATCCTGTGGGCTGGTAGATGAACAGAGCTTAGATTACACAGTCTGGAATAATAAACCTGGAGGGATGCACAGAAATGTGCCCTTTCCAAAGACTTTGTGCCCAGCTATGAGCTCTGGGCTGTTGCAGTATCGTCTCAGTGGGGTAACGAAGTTTGGGACAGAGGAAGCAAAGCAAACTCTTCCCATCCTTGCAGATGTTAAGTGGTAGTGATAGGGAGATGATGAAAATATTACTAAAAGCCTGGGCATGTGCCAGACTTCTTAGCATGTACGTAAGTAAAGAAAATTAGGAAGGCATAGTGAGTATTATTAAATGTAATTTGTAGATATTTATAGCAGAACGGGACAAAGATGAATAAAAGAAGTGTATGAAATCTGGAGTCCAGAGCAGGTACATGGTTCTGGCAGCTTTATTCCAATAAAGGATCCAACTAGAGGATGGATATCTGTTTCTGTACTATTTTGCTTTTCTGCAGTCACTTTGACCCTGTGCTGAGTTTTCTGAGCCTGAACAGTCTGAAATGATGAACAGCCTAAAATCAGTCTCCTGCTCTCTGCTGTGTTGTCTACAAGGGCCTGTCCCTACTAGGGATGGTGCTGCTGGCTATCGCTGTGTGTCTGCTCTGGCGTGCAGGCATGCCTGCCTGCAAGCTGCTGCCTGCCATGTCCAGGATGCTTGCACTGCTGTCAGCAGGAGAAATGCTGCTGCACCTGGAGCTGACGAGGAAGGGGTCCTGGGCTGCTTCAGCGTACAAGCATACTCTGATATCATCACCCATTTGGTGGGTGCACATGTATGGAAACATTTGGCATAAGAAGTTATTGCTATTTGCATTTCATTAACCTTTTCAGACGTAAAAGGCTGACCATGGTAGCTGGTGTCTGCCAAATGTCTTGGTTCATAATTGGGTCTTAGTGGTGCACTGCAAATTATAAATGGTGTTCTGTGAATTCCCCATCAGAGGCAGGAAGCAATGCAGTTCTCCTCCTGGCGCCCCATCGACGCAGGAGCATAAGAGGAATTAGCTCAGCTATAGAGCACGTCTAGAAGTTACTGATGTTCCACCAGGGTTTGAGGCTTGGAATTTAAATATTGAGAAGTTGTGACATTTGCGTCTCTCTCTGTAACATCCTCCTGCAAGCACTCCTGCCCCTGTGTCTTCATGACTGTAGTTGCCTCCTTTTCCTGGTTTGCACAGAGGAAATCCTGTTACGGCACAGCCTGTCTGCAGCGCTGTTGCAAAAAGCCACCTCTGAGCCTTGGCTGCATCTCCCCTCTCTGTCATCCTGGTGTCTGTTGCCCTTTCCCTGCTGCATCGGACACATCAGCTGCAGGCTTCGCATTCAGCGTCCTGGCGTGGGTCCCATATGTGACATCCCAGCTCTCCTGCTTTTCCAAGATGTACCCCCTGGGTTTTGATCACCCTGTGCTCCCAGCATCCGTCATCCTTCCTATCACCTTTGTATTTCCCTGAGCTTTGCCTTGTGCTTCCTTGTCATATAAGTGCCTTCTCTGTCACATCATTAATTTCTTTGATACATCCCAGCACGTCCACTTTTGATGCTTTCTTTGGCTGTCTGATATGGAAAGAAGCCCTCACTGCGCTGCAACACATTCCTGTCACTGGAATTAGTCTGGGGCTGGATTTGAGCACAATGGTGTCCTCTAGGACTGGGACACCTGAGAGGCAGTGTCGCACAGATAACTCTATCTGGCACCAGCAGCAGTGTCCTTCCATGCTCTGTGATTAGCATTAGCTCTCTGCACTTGCTCCTTTTGACATTTCAGGTGCAACCCTGCCCCCTTATGCTTACACATCACAGCTTGGTTCGCTGCAATGACTCTTGCAACAGAGTTTTATCACTGTGTCAGTTACTGCACACTGCTTTGCAAGCAATGAAAATATGTAAATGTTATGCACACACCCATACAGATGGTAATGTCACAGCCTCTCTGTCAGGGCAGGGCATGCCGCCTGTGTTGGTAGGATAAGGATGGAGATCTTTTTCATTATACAGCTGAGAGGACACAGAGAATCAAAGCAGGAATGTTGAGTCCAGAAACAGAGTTACAGAGAGCACAGTTACTGTGATTGTACATCTGTGCCCAAATTCATGAGCATTTGAGTTGTGAACTGCAGAACTCGGTACTGAATCTGCTTTTCTGGGGAGAAGAGATTTTGAATCAAGATGGTGCATTAATAAAGAGTTCTGTTTAATACATCATGCAGTTTTTGTCCTAGCTTTATGTTGTGCCAGGATTTCTAAGGTTTACGCGAAGTCTGATTGATATTCGAGGGCTTCGTGCAGGCTGTATACTCAGATTGTTCTTATAAAATATATTGCTAGTAGTGTGTTACCTATTACAGTAGGAAAGTGTTCTCTTTTTTCTCTGGACGCCACTTCCTGCATAACTGTGTCACTAATTAGGGGCTGATAACCCTCTTGACTTGGTTCAGGGCCACATACTGTTCAGCATGATATAGTGCTGCAGCACTGCTAGGGTTAACAGAGACCTGAAATCCATTCACTTTCAGATTATCCATATTTAGCTCTTAGGCTATCTTTCTGGTAGTGACAGGGATGGGGTCTGGTATTTCTAAAGGTTTTTTTCCCCTTTCCCAGGAGTGATGCAAACCAGAAACCCTGCAAGGTGTTAGCTTCACAGGTGAGTGCAATGGAGAATGAAAGCCAGCCTTGATAATCAGGACTGCTTGCCTGGGGCTGGGTGTTTTATCTGACAGGTTTTTCTCTGAGTAAATGGTGCTGAGGATTTGTCCCACTGGGAATCCATACAGCTTCAGGGGGAGCTGCTTGTCCTCCACTGCTCCGAGTCTTTGGCCACAAGCATGGAGCCCCACATCAGTCCCCTTGCTGCAAGTACAAAAGTTGGTGATTGGGAGCTGCTGCTAAGAACTAGGCACCAGCTAACAAAGTTTAATTAACTTCTGTTTGCTCTGAGATTAATTGTATCACTCCTCGCTCGCACTCATACTGGTGACTTCATGCCCTGGATGGGATCCTCTGCAGAGCTATTTGCAGCCTCTGCAGAGAGGGACAGCAGGAATGGGACGACAGCTGTTAGAGGAGAGCTGAGAAGAAACAGCTGAAATATTTTCAGATATTTTTCTATATTTCCACTGAGGGAAACAGTCTTTCTGGCCTTCCTTTATTTTTGCCTTGTGAAAATGTGCAGTCATTCCACCAGACACTAGATTTTCTATTCAGACAAAACTTTCAAATTTGAGGTTGCCAAAGATCAGACAAAAAGTTGTTCTGTAAGTGCAGAAATGAAAGAATCCCGGTCCCTTTGGGTTCCTCTCCCCTTGCACTGGATCTCCTTGCCAACCTGCAGCCTCCAGGAGCACCCACTGAGGGGTCTGTTGCTTTGGCTGTGGCATCTGGGTCTACATTTAACTGCAGAAGACAAGTAGTGAGATCTAAAACCATTAGGGGGAACCAAATGGCTTAACCTCGGTGTCTCCTCTTCTTGTGTTGTCACTAAGGTTTCAGAGCTCAAATGTCTTTAATATTTGGTTGAATTTGGCAGGTGACCAACGGGAGCAAAAGTAGTATAAGAAAGACATAAAATGGTTGGAGAACGCCTGAAGACAGGCTGTAAAGATGGTGGAGAATCTAGAGAGCAAGGCATACGAGGAGCAGCTGAGGCTCCTGGTTTGCCCAGCCTAGAGCAAAGGAGCTGATGGCAGCTGCAGCTCCACACAGGGAGCAGAGGGGCAGCGTTGAGCTCTGCTCTCTCTGATAGCGGCACGGCCCGATGGAGCGGTGTTAAGCTTCATACTGCATCTCTGGTGTGTTTTATCAGCTCAAGGTTTTGTAGGCTCTGTTCCTTTCGCTTCGTTGGAGACGGGTTTTGTATCACGTGAAGGGCTGGATGGGCAAGAGCAGAGCTCAGTGCATGTCAGGGGAGATGTCTCCTGCAGAGACAAAGGAGAGCTGGAAAAGAAACAAAACCATTTATATTTGTTGTGTTTAAAATCACTGCTGCAGAGATTTGTGCCAGTTTCCCCATGGCAGCCATTCTGAGAGAAACAAAGGGAAGAGAAAGATTCTCTACTGTGAGGAGATGAAATTACAAGGCATAGGATGGAACTCTGTTACAAGAGGCAGATTTGTGAGAGAGGAGCTTTGCAGGGATTGTTGCATTCCACTCTCCATCCTACCAGCAGCACCTGCCTCAGCCTGTGTGCTCCACCACTGAGGTGCACTCACTGCCCTCGCGCCCAAGCAGGAGCTGGGTCCAGCCCTGGGGATACCAACCTGAGGCTTTAACTGCAGCCTCACACCTCTCCTCCTTGATGTGTAGATGGTCAGTAAGCTGTCTGCCTCTCTCTAGGTGGAACGTCGTGATACAGTCACTGTTATCAAATACAGGGTTATCAAAACATTTGCATTTCAATGGTGCTGACTTTTAACAGCTGCACTAGATAATTTTCTTTATTGAACTTGGACAGGCTTAAACCATAAGTGATTCAGTGATGGAAGGGATGAAAGCAACATAACAATGCATTAACATTCATCCCCAGAGATCTGCTTCTCTAATGCAGTTCAAACCAAATGTGCTGAAAGGGTAGTGCTTTGAGATGTATAATGACTGTGACTGTCTCTTCTTTCCTGGAGAGGAATATCTTCTTGAAAGTGACCATGCTTTGTTTTAATCTGTGCTGTCTGAGATTGTTTTTCAAATATAAAATCAATTTAGTTTGCTTTATTAAAGGCAGTTCAGGGGCCAGGTTTTCATTTGAAGTATCAAATGAATTTAGAATGCAAAAATCTACTAGCTCTCCATGTGTACATACAATATTCAGTTTGGGGATTTCAGGTAAGTGAATTTAAACTGCAAATTGTCTGAAATAAAGAGAAAAAGAAATGATGGTGTGTAACATAGAAGGACCTGATTCCTGGCAGGAGTCTTCAGATGATGATGTGAAATGAACAGAGATACACAGCTCCTGTGCTTATAGCAGTGCCAAGGGACAGCAGGGTGTCTTGGTCCAGGAGCACCTTGCAGAAGAAGAGGGAAAGGGTATTACTGAGACATATCTGCAAAGCAGATCAGGAGATAAGTGTGATTTTTGTATTATATGTACAGTGCTGTAGGTGGATAGCTAGCAGAAATGTGGCTAGCAGAAATGAAAAACATGCCTAGACTCCATTCGCTTTGTTTTCCTCTGAAATTTCTGGCACTGGAAAGAATCAATATTCAGTACTTTTCCTCCATGTTTTTCTTTTTTTTTTTTTTTGTTTGTTTGTTTATTTCTTTAATTAATGTATTTATTACTAAACTCTTCATCTTTTATTTATTTGCTTTTTTAGGGAGGCTTTTCTCAGCATGCAGTCCCTTTAGATTTGGGTGTGATAACCAAGCACATCTGGCACGTTGGACTTCTGGCTTGCATTCTTCTGTCATCCTGCTTGTAAGTATTCCTTCTCTTTGCCTATATATTTTACGGAGTGTACTCAACTGACAGTGACTGAAAGGGTGGAAGCTTTAGGTCTGATTTCAGGTCACAATGGCTTTGCTTTGCATTGATATAAATAACTGTAGTGTGCAGATGCATGGGAAATGTAAATGATAAAGGCATTTTGAGCCCATCTGAATTAATTGAGTATCCTTATAGCTCTGAGGGGTTCCTTTTCCCAGTCCCCACACAAAACCCCAAACAAAATATAACTTGATTTTGACCTGCAACCAAGCCATCTGGACTGTTGTCCTCATAGATTTTTAAAATCATAAATTTAAATCACATTGTAATAAAAGATGCAATTAAATCATAAATTAAAAGGAAGACTTTGCTTGTGGCAGGAAATAGATTTTCCTTTTCCTTGTGTGCACTTTTATACCGAGTAAGTAGATGACTGATCCTGTTTCTCAGGCAGAGTGGTAAAGGGATTCTGTGCTCCTGGAGAGTCCAGAGACATGAAGAAACAAGATCCTGTGTACTTGTGGTTTTTCAGTTGCTAAAGGCATTTATTAAAGAAAAGGAAGAATTAAGGATTATGTTCTTGCTAAACTCCAAGCAATATGTCATACTTTGGCTTCCCTACCTACACTTTCTACATTTTCAACCAAGTAAATTATTGTTCACTTCTCTTCTGTCTAGCACTGTTGTCTGGTTTGGTTACAAAATGTTACAATTACACATTTTTCCAGCATAGAGCAATCTACTTTTCAAGGCCAGGGAGTTCCCTGTATGTAAAGTCCAATCAGTACTTTGGTATGAGCATGTAAAGGTATTGTAATGGCATTAAATGCTTTGTGTTGCAAGTTGTTCATTTGTGGTGAAATAATCCTATATGGCAAAGGAAATGAATGCATAAAACAAAGGTGATGGGACGGAAGATAGACAAATTAAACAAGAAGCTGCCTGGCCTTCATATCTATATCAAATTGACAAGGGTTGTGAGAAGTCTTAATCTCTCACAGATCTAGTGAAAACTTGCTGCCAGCTTTTGGCACCATAATAATAGGGCTGAGGATGGAGGCATCTTTAAGCATCAGGATATTTCATACTAGAACTGGCATCACCTGTGCTGTCCTCTGGGAGTCTGCACAATTACTCTCCTGTCAGGTCTGCTCTGATGCTGAACAAAGGAGAGGGAGTTTTTTTCCAGGTCATGAGGGGATGATATCATTATCCACTCAGTCTTGGTTCTGGCTTACCAGAAGGACAAAAGAAAGCAGAGAACACATCTGTGAGCAATGCAGGGAGCAGCCCCATCCCTGACTCCCTCTGTGCTTTCCTCTGTTTCACACACATGATCACTGCAAGCGTGCTTCTTCCATCTGCACCTCTGTGTCCTTCAGAACACGCATATCTGCCAGCAGGGGAGCTGGATCTCTGCAATGACAGTGTGCATGGAGGGAAGAAAGCCTGTGCACTGAGGCTCTGTGGACAGATGCCCATGGGTGAGCTTCACCAGTCCTTCCCTGGCTCATTGAAAGACTCCCTATCCTCCACAGAGCCATTTGTTTTGAAGAAGATTGCAGAAACCTAATTTTTTCATTGCAGCACTGCCCATCGCAGTAAGGTTGGAGCTGCCTGATCTTTAAGGTCCCTTGCAACCCAAGCCATTCCATGATTTATCCTCTGTCTCTGGGCTGAAATCACTCAAAATGGTTTGAAGTTTTTAGGGAAGGAAGGCAGATGAATCCCCTGTTGATGTCTGAAGGGAAAAGGCAGCTCACTGTTGGAACAATTGCAAAAGCAAATTAAGTTCTCCACTGCTAGGAGTTGTTTACAATGAGAAAATGACTTTTTAGGATACCTTCTTACCTGTAAAGAAGCTGATGGAAGATCATGACAAAAGTATTATTTACCCAAAATTAAAAACACTGATTTCCCTAGATGTTTGTTTGTCTGTCTGCATAAACACTTTGAAGCCTATGAAATAACCAATGTATTTGTCAGTCTGTAGTCACAAAAAGCCAGGAAGAACCAAGAAAACAAAGTGCTTATCTGTGGCTGATAAACTCTAAAGAAAATGAATCTACTGGACTTTCCTTCCTGTTCCTCACTGTTAGGCACTCAGTGTGAGAGTACATCCCATTAACTTATATTTCACTTTGTCTGGAGAAATAGATTTGTTGCATCAAGGTATTCAGAGACATATGGCACAGGCAACTGCATAGTAAAGGATTTATGACGCTGGGAAATGTAAAAGCTCTCTGTTTACTTCATGACTTCTTGGATAGCACTACAGCCTCATTTAAAATTCACCTTAGGTTGAACAGGGAGATGATTGATGTCTCAGCAGTGTTCAAGATTAAATTGCATGTGTTATGCATAGCGCCCTGGATATATGCTGACTGATGAGACCTCCACCCCTGACCACACTGCGGTTTTCAGAAGTAGCTTTTTTATGATAGGTGCCATCAGAGATGTAAGCAGTTGATAGCTTTGGCACACCTTCACAGACATGCTACTGCATGGCAACTGGGATTTAGCTCTAACACAGTAGCAGTTTCTTAATCTTCACTTCTCCACTTTATCTTGCTTGCTGAGGAGGTCAATTTGTCTGTCTCCCACTTACCATAGGATAAAATAAAAGATGACAAACCAACTGGGGCTGCTTGAAGTATCTGTCAGGTAGCCCTGCTCTCAGAATTAGAGTATCACCACCTTTGAAAAGTGATTTATACAGAAGACATGAATGGAGTAGCAGTGCACAAATGGAGGATAACATTTGCATGATGGTCTGTTTGAAAAGTGTGTATAAAGGACAACGTGTATCTGACAAAGCCTTGTGTGCTGGCCCTCATATTTGGGGACTGAAGTAGTAGAATAAGATTTTTCTGTCTTTTATATCTAAAGCCAGCAGAGAGCGGAGCTCAAGTCTGTGAGTCTGTGCCTTTTTTTTATTATTATTATTTTTTTCTTTTTCTGTAGTGCATCTGTGTCAGTAGTTTATCCATCAGAGCAGCAAAGTGGTGTAACAGTGGAGTAATAGCAGGGTGGAAACATAGCCAGTTTGGAAAGACGGAGTATGTATGGCCTGGGGCAGCAGTGGGATTGGATTCAGTGGTTCATGAAGGCTCCTCAAGTTGCACATCCGTGTTCGAGGATTACTGAGGTGCCTCTGAGAAGGTCGTCTGAATCCAGCTACACCACAAATACTGAGTCTTCCTGCAGATAGGTCCTAGTTCTCTTGTGGCCAGAGATCATTCAAGAAGCACCACGAAAAACAAGAGGAACACAGTCTTCTGCTTTTAGAGTAAGAGTTCATTTCCAGTCATTCAGCAGTAGAGCTTTAAATTTAGTTTTTAGCTTAAGGAAAACAGCTTTCTAGCTGTAGACAAGGGAAAAGTATGGACCGCTACAGAAGTTGAATCCCTTGATTGGTTTACGGGTCTCAGAAGACAATGGATTTACTGAAGTTAGCCACTTCCAATTTTCTCGTTATACTTTGAAGTCGGAGACAAACTTCATAATCATTTTGCTGGGACCAGGTTTGGCCTTGACATTGTTTTGTGTAGTTTTCAGAAATACACAAACCCATTTACAAAGTGAGAAGGTGAAGCCAACAACTGGCTTTACTGAGGGTTATTCCTATGGGAGGACTAGATCTCAGAAGAGAGCCAAGTGGCTGCGCTACTTACTTCCTCATTTCAGAAGGAGCAGGAAGCTGATCCAAGGTGGTGGCTGTAGTGCACAGGATAGAGCTGCTCTTCGAAACTAGAAGGCCTGGTTTGCTTCATGGCAGAGGTTTGTGTAGCTGCATTCAGTCCAGAACTGCACTTCCACCTGACAGACACCAGCTGAGCTGCTCTGTCTGATTTCTAGCTCTTTCTGCAGTGCGGGGATCACATCAGGGAACTTCATCAGGGATCAGTGTTGGATCTGTTTTATTTCTGTATATTCGTTGTGCCTTTCCCATGAATGCTGTTCAGATGTTAGGACACGATATGGTCATGCTCCCATGGGACATTGCTGGTAACTTACTTTAGTTGGGTACAGATGGTTTGTAAAGCTTTTAGGCTGAGCAAAACCCAATGTTTTAAGTGTATATTTTTAAACGTGATTAAAACAACACACTTTGCTTTTTTTCTCTTCCAAAAACATTACCTGAAGAGTCACTTTAGCTGAAGATGTATGATGAGATCCGGTCACATGTTACATCCCTTTGCACTGTGTGTGATGCAGCTGGAATGTGGGCCATCGTCATTTGGAATCACAGTTGATGGTGCCTCTGATCTCGCCACAAAATACTTAGTTCAAAATAGCCCAGCTGGTATTGCAAGACCTATAAGGGCTCAGATCTAGAAAGCATTCACATCTCTGCTTAACTGTAAGCTTCTGATTAGTCCTCTATAAGACTGTAAATTTTTACTTGCTTCAAAGGAAGTCTTAAGCCAAAGTTCTTCCTTGTATCAGGGCCAAAACCATTAATGGTAAAAGTAGAACACAGATTTCAAACTTGCGAAGAATTTAAAGGCTTTTAACTTCTGCCATATTAAAGAATTTATGTGAATTAATTCCTGAAGTTATTATAGGAAAATTCAATTATTAATGGATCTGCTTTTCATTATGACGAATAATCAAGGATAAACATCTTCTGTATCAAAGCTTATCTTTTAAAAAGGATAAATTAGCTGTAAGATGCTTAACTACTTCCAGAACACGAAATGAACATTGTTGTTCTGTTAGTTAATTTTGGATCACTAAATTAGAGCTAGTTCAAAAGGACTATAATCTCATAAGGATCTCTCTGTTCAGTCTGTTGTGATTCATTTCATAAGGTGCTTGTAATAAATAATGCATCTCATTGGGATAAATGCTATTAGTGATATAAAATTGTTTATTTAAAATATATTTTAGACGTCTGTGTGAGTTATATACCACAAGGGTAGGAATATTTTTATTTGGTATTTGCAGATGCAAGTTTTGTACGCCTGTGTATCTTGTAGGCTTTTGGGATACTTGGGAAGGTTACCAGAAGCTCTGCAATAAAACAACATCTGGAATGTAACCTTTTGTCCATCAAAACATTATGGATGTGAATATATTAGTAATTTAATCCAGGCCAGGCCATAGGCCTGTCAGTAGCTCTTGTGTTGAATTAGTAGCACACTTCCTGGCATGGTTTCAGCCAGCTAGCCCTCTGCAAGCCATGCCTGGACATATGTGAGGTTAGCAGTGACCATCATTCACTCCCAGAGGCAGCTGCAAGTTGGCCATCTTGTCCATGGACATGAGAGTTCAGCCATCTTTGTGCAATGTGCCATGCAAGTTGTTTTCAGCACCAAGGAACAGACCTGACTTGTTCTATTGAGCTGTATAGATGCAATTGTGAGGTATATAAAATAAATTAGGATTAAAATAAGTAGGATTAGAGTATACATTCTGCTTAATATTGTCTTTGTTCACCGAGGCATGGGGCATGACCTCCTAAATGTAATTTACAGGGGAAAAATACCGCGAGTAACCGCACAAATAACTTTGGTAGATGCAAAACATTTTTCAGTAGGTGTCTTCAAGGCTTCGTGAGAAGCAGCAGCACCAGCAGAAAAGTATCTTGTATTTCCTAAGGAGCTTTAGTTCAGATTGGGACTTTTGTGGTCAAAGCAAGTGTGGAAAAGTGTCACCCTCTTGAAGACAGAGGAACTTTTCTAAATTAGCAGAAGTAACAAGGTTAAAGGAAAAAAATGGAAGGCAGAACATTGCTTAGAATATTGCTGGGACACTTCAGTGGAAACACTGGGAGATACTTCATCTGTTATGTGACACACAGAAGGAGACCATAGACTACTGAATCATTACTTTAAGGTCCTCATTCTGTCTTTCTGACTGTTGATGACAGTTTGCTCTCTTCATTGATATGAAAACCAGTAGGATTTTCCTCAAAGCCTCTAACTGTGAGTAAGAGATCATTTTATTAAGCTGAGACCACAGAACAAGGCCTAAAGCAAAGTCAAGATGAGAGGGACCATACTAGGAACTTAGATGTGTAGGGATATTGCCTTCCTAGTGGGGAGGAAATAGTTCCTTTCCTTGCTGTGCTCAAGCATCTGCAATGAAAGGTTGACTACAGACAGTGGAAATGGTTTCAAACTACAAGAGGGGAGATATAGATCAGATATAAGGAAGAAGTTTTTCACAGTAAGGGTGATGAGGCACTTGCACATGTTGCCCAGAGAGATGGTGGATGCCCCATCCCTGGAGATACCCAAGGTAAGGCCAGACAGACTCTGAGCACTTGATGGAGCTTTAGGTGTCCCTGTTCATTGCAGGGGATTTGGACCAGGTGAACTTTAAGGGTTCTTTCCAATTCTATAATTCTGTGATTCTATGACAAATGGATAGAAAAATGGTATGTGGATAACTACATAGAGAAAATGAGCTTCATTTCCTCCACGCTTACACCTTACATGATTTATTCTGTATCAAAACAAAGGCAATAGCTTACTGTGTTTAAATCAGATAGGGCATGTCAGCTTTTTACAAGCAATTCTCTACCAGCAAGCCTTCTCATGCTTTTCCAGGCTGCATGTGGGAATTGACCACATTGGTTTTAAAATAAAAAGAAGCTCAGCATACTTCAGCCCACTCCTCTTGTTCTACTCTGAACTTGAGCACCAGAGTTTCCAGGTTTAAACACAAAGTGGCTGAAGGCAAAGCTCTGCTGCTCCTGGGTAATCCCTTCTTTTTATCCTTAGCTGCTGGGGCTGCTTGTTTCCTCAGGGTTTTGCTTGTAGATGTCAAAAGCTGCAACACTTCACTGAAATGTGTGTGCCATTGAGACGTGAGCTTCACACTATGAATGTGAGGTGCATTTTGATCTTTGAAACCATCGGATCCATTTCATAAATAAGAAGTCAGGTCTGGCAGATTTTCCCATTTCGGTTAGCTCAGGTAAGACAATGTGGAATAAGTGGCTGAAGGTGGTGAATTATCACCCACAGTGGTGTTGTAGAGCCGCCTTCTAGGCTGACAAACTGATGTCTTGAGAGGGGTTTTTCATTCCTTGATTAGCTTTTGTCCACAAGACAAATTTGGATTCTACTATGCCTGTCCCAGGTAAAGTGCAAAGCTACTCTTATTGGTCTGTTCTACAGTCAAAGAAATCCTGGGAAAGAATCAATTTTATAGGATTTATCTTTATTCCTGTATTTTGGTAAATAGAAACAGTAGTTAAGTAATGCCTCCAGAATTGCAACTCTTAAGAATTGGATTGTTTCAGGTACACATTAAATAATATTAGCTAGTAAATTAATCTTATCTTTTTTTTTTTTTCCTTGCAGTTCTGAAGAACACACTATTCCTTTGCCCTAGGCTTGAGCAGTAAAGATCTGACTGCTGGTTGAACTGTTACCTCTTTGCTGTGATGGAAAAGTGCTCATCTAAAACAAGCCCCTTGTTATGCTGCTAAAACTGCCTCTGAATACAAGATCTGTGGTGATTGTTAAAACACAAACCCCAAAATGTCGGAACCCGACCCCTCATCTGGTTTTGTAGGAAACATGGAAAATGGGACTTTTCTGGAGCTATATCCCACGTCGCTTTCAACATCTGTGGATTCATCAGCTGGCCGTTTATCCAACGTCTACGTCTATGTTTCTATATTCCTCAGTCTCTTAGCTTTCCTCCTTTTGCTATTGATCATTGCACTTCAGAGGCTGAAAAACATAATTTCTTCCAGTTCCTCATACCCAGAATATAACAGTGATGCTGGAAGTTCTTTCACTAATTTAGAAGTCTGTAGTATTTCTTCCCAGCGGTCTGCTCTTTCAAACCTTTCTTCATGAAACTAAATGAAAGGGAATATATAGGGCATGGAGAAGCTTTGTCTAGTTTCTAGGGGAGGTAGTGCATGCAACATTTGCCTTAGGAGACGATGATGAAAAGGTGGCATTTAAAGTTTAGTTTTTTCTTTCCTTTTCTAGTCTTCATTTTCCCTTTTACTAATGTTGATTTGCATTTTGGATAATGACTCTTGATCATTGTTTCATGCCTGTAATTGCGATGCTTTTTCTCACACATATGTGGTGTTCATTAGGAGTATTCCTGCCAAACTGTAATATGGTTCTAAGTAGATGTGTCATTTTTTTCTGCTCTAGTAGTGGCCCCTTTCCTGGTTTTGTATTAATAATACGTTGTTTTTCCTTTTTTAATTAGAAAAGGATAAAATCTCTATTGCAAAAGTAACAAAAATGAGCTTAAATTATCAATATAGTTTGTGGGACAACCTAAAGTTGTTGACATTGTTTCCTTTTTTGTTTTTCTTGTCTTTTTCAGTATTTATTGGTGTTTATTGAATGCAACTAAAATCCATCTCCTGAAGAATGTTACATTTATTTATTTGTACTTCCAAATCATTCTGGATAAAGTTGTCTGTATTTCAGTTTTTAAATCTCTGAAATCTTTGGTTAAATTAGTAAAGCAACTACAATAACTATGGTCATTGCTGAATGTGTAGAGGTATTTTTGGACTACACTGCAAATAATTTGCCTAACGATTTATTCCTCTGGGGGGCAGCTTTTGCTTCGGAATCACACATCTCACAAAACTGTGCTGATTGTGCATTCTATTGGTACTGGGTACCAGTACAAACCAATGGCTTCTTTTAGGAGATCCATATACTGTGACTGTAGCTAGTAGCTAAATAGCTCCTGGAACTATCCTTTCTTTAGGCATAAAATGTTTGCAAAGCCAGCAGGAATGGAAATTATTTGGTCTGGTGAGGGTTTACTGGAGTGGACTTTGCCTTATATTTCACACATGCACACTGGGGTGGAGGGAGGACACGAGATGTTCCATTCATAGGCAGATCTGAGCTTTGACAATAAAGAGGTGCATCATGTCCTTGCAGAGGGTTGGAAGAGTTAGGAAGGAGAAAGGCAGTGGCTCTGCTCCTTTTCTCCATGAGCTTAAGGAAAGGCCAGAGATGGATGACCTTTCCCAACCCTGCTCCTTTTTGCTATGCTGTAGTCTGGGTTATGATCCCCTCTGCCTGCAATATAAGTTAGCACTCAGTTTTTGCAGTCAGATAACGAGCATTATTGTGAACAAGAGCCTGGAACCAGCTGTGAATTAAATCAAATTATCAGAAAAATTACTAACATGCCAAATGTGATCTACCAGGATTGCAGCCCCATGCTGTGCTGTGTTATTCCTTGCTGGCTTGATTGCTGTGTGTGAGGATAGCCTAGTCCTGCCATTCAGATCCATGCAAATGCTCCTCTGATGGCACCATGACAGTCACTGGAGAGATCAGAGGAAGGCTGTGGAAATGCCACTGCTGTATCTGTTCCTGGAGTAAGAGTGTGTACAGCTCTGGGTCACCAACAAGACACATTAACAACGCAGTCTTTAAAAGAGAAATTTGGAAACTTCAGTGTAAATACAGTCATTAAAAACACAGCTGTTCAATGCCAAACAACGTGCAAATGATGTTAGAGTTGCTGCTTTCAGTTTTTCAAAGTGAACCTGCAGTATGTGGGTAATTGTTAATTGATCACGGCGTTGATTAGCTCCTTACAAAGGACAATGGACTTACTGACCAAGAGATAAATTAAGGCCACAGGAGCTCTGAGACAAACTGTTTTTATAAATTTTGGCTCTCAAATATTTTATTCATCTGGACAAAAATTCCTTGTAGGTTACTTTTCACTGTAATTGATGGTAGGCCTGAGAAAAAGACTGTAGTATTGAAAAGTGATCAGCAAAGATTATTGCCATTCTGAAAACTGTTCAAAATCCCAAATCTGTAACAGAATGCATTTGTGTGTTAACTTGGAGATAAAAATAAATGAACTTTAAACGCAGACAGGCAGTCATTCAGCTATCCTCTGTAAAACTGTTGCTTCCTTTACTGCAAATGCAGGAACTGAATCAAAACCAGAGATGAGAACGCCATCTGAGTTGGGTATTTATTCCCAGTGGTGATGTTCTTTTTATCAGCTTATGCTTACGGATGCACAGATACTTACTATTAAATACAGACTGTTGAACACCACTGGCTTTGTTGAGTGAGCTATAGTCAAACTGCATGAGAGCAAAAATTATTTTTCAGCCCTGCAGAGAGTTGCCCGTTGATCCTTGTGGACACCCAACTGGCACCTGGGCTAGCAATGCACAGTTGCTGCAGAGAAGGTCAAGAGCACCCTGGGCTGCATTAGTAGGAATGCTGTTAGCTGTTCAAGGAAGACAATGGCAAAAAATACCTGCAGTGCTGGCTCCAGTTCTGAGCTCCTCAGCACCAGAAAGATGTGGGTTTCCTGGAGCAAGCCCAGCAAAGAGCCATTAGGCTAATTAAAGGACTGAAGCACCTTCTATGAGGAGAGGCTGAGAGAGCTGGGACTGTTCACCTGGAGAACAGAAGGCTCAGGGAAGGAAGGATGGGAAGCCAGGCACATCTCAGTAGTGCTCTGAAAGATTTTCCTGATTTTCTTCTGTAAGCTTAAACTATTGCCTAGTTTTCCTACAAATATCTTTTACCATCTAAACGATTCTTGTCCTCCTTCCACACAATATGGTATTAGCCCTCTTCTTTTGCCTTCTGATCCTGTGGTACTCTGATAAGGATGATGCCCATGGACTATCATGGTGCTCTGCAATTGATTTTCATCCCTTCAGAGTCTTGTTTTCAGTGATACCACTGGGAAAGACATCTGTGTGGGAAGGATATTTACAGAGCCCACGCACCTCTCATTCTCTGTGGTGGGACTATTCTGGCTGCATCTGTCACAGCTGCCTAAGAAAACACAGAAGCACCAGAGCTGATTGCCCTTCTCATGCTTGCATGCTTGGACACTCTATGAAACATGGGCTTGACCTTGCCTATGTCCTTGGCATATGGTAGAGCAGGCTTTAAGCTCCTGTACCCTAAATGTATTATGGGATGCAGCCAGTCTGCACTCACAGAATCATCACAGAATCATAGAATTGTTTGAGTTGGAAGGGACCCTTAAAGATCATCTAGTCCAACCTGAAATCAACAGGGAAATCAAACAGGCCCAGGATGCTGCCCCAGGCTGGGACCAGGTCAGGGACACCTTGCAGATGCCACACGAAGATGCTTTCAGGGTGGGTGGCTCCCAGCACTATGTTTTGGAGCAAAAAAGCACATCAGCCTGCTGTGTTTTTGTTTTTGGGGCCAGGTAATCAATTTTTATCACTCTGGGAATTGCCAGGCAGGCAGGACTAGGTGTGATGAGCTATTTTTCACTTCTTTGAGTTACTTCTTTGTTTTAGATCAGAGGGAACTGAGCACTCAGCATAAGTCTGAAAGTCCCAGCAAGTGATCATCAGCACGTCTAGGGTCACAGAATCACAGAATCGTAGTGGTTAAAAGGAACCTCCAGGAGACCTCACCACCAACCCATCCGCTAGGCTCTGTCTTGAGCTTGGGCCCAGCAATTTCTTGTGAGAGAGAAATAAGCATTTATCATGTCTTGTAGAGCTTTAGTTGGTTCTTTCAGAAATGTCCTTTCTATGCCAATCTGATAAAATGGATTAAATCCTTGCTGGCCCCCTTCAACCTAACAGCTTCATCAGGATTCAGAAAGTGGAAGCAAACACTGAGACTTACAGATGATACTAAGCCAGGCTGAGCTGCAAACACCTAGCAGGGCAGAGGAATAATGCCAACAGAAGCGTGGCTGGAAGCAAAATGAGATGGAGCCTGAAAAACATGCAGAATAATGTCTGAGGCAGAAACAAAATAGAAAAGGAGCACTCCAGGTGTGGGAGAGATGGCAGCAGGGACAGAAAAGCATCTAAGCTGCATATAAACTGCTTCATATTCAATATATCCTACTCTTATACTGGGCATTTACTCATATTATGTGTAATTACTAATATGCTTTAAGAGATTTTGTTCGGAAAATAACCCCTAAGTAAACATCTATTGTAATTCTGCAGGGATTATTTTCCTTCCTTAACTTCTCTATAAGACTGCTTACATGAGTTGATAGTGATAGGACAAGGGGAAATGGTTTTAAACTGAGACAGGGGAGGTTTAGGTTAGATATTTGGAGGAAGTTTTTCACACAGAGGGTGGTGACGCACTGGAACAGCTTGCCCAAGGAGGCTGTGGATGCCCCATCCCTGCAGGCATTCAAGGCCAGGCTGGATGTGGCTCTGGGCAGCCTGGTCTGGTGATTGGCCACCCTGCACATAGCAGGGGATTTAAACTGGATGATCAGTGTGGTCCTTTTCAACCCAGGCCATTTGATGATTCTACGATGATTCTATATTTAAGGAATTTGCAAATTCCCAATTATACCCCTCAGTTGTATTCACAAAGAAATGGCCAGATGTGCAATTTCAGCCCTGTAGGAAAAAAGGGTAAGACCAAAGTGTGACCCCAGACAAAGGCGAAAAGTTGGGTTAGATGTGCTGCACACAGGCAGCCACAGTTTCTGGAGACACACAACGAGTGACAAGAGAAATGTCACATCCTCCTGTCATATCTACACCTGCAGTACACATCTGTCAGCCCAACCAATAGTGTTTTGCTGTGACTGCTGGTATGTAGGGTCAAGTGGTACAGACTAGAGGATGCTGCCATCTGTATCTTGTATCCTCTTGTATCTCTGTTGTTTTCTGTGTGGTTTTTTTTTTTTCATCTAAGAAGCAGAACTTTGTTTCCCATATCATAAAGTCTGTTAAAAGTAAATAAAAATGTTATTCACTGATGCACACTGCAGCTAGTCTCTGTATCTCAAGCCGCAAGTATGTGTTGACATGGGAGTGGCAGTTGTTTGTGACATAACCAGTCCCACTCCCCAGAAGACCCTTCAGAACAAAATAGCAGTAAACGTTCTATTGAATTAGAAAACACTGTATCTCACGCTGAAGCTAAAGAAGATTGGGCTGACAGATTTATAATTGCTCAGATCTACTGAGAATTCTGAACAAGACAAGCTCTTTGACCAAAGGCACTTTCTAGCATCTATCTCATCAGTATTCATTAAGTGGAAACGTAGGCTGCTGTGATGAAGGATACCAGATACAGCAACGTGAACTTCAGCAACATCAAAAGCAATTAGCCAGGTACTAGAATCAGAGTACTTCCTTCAAAGTGGAAGTGAGCTAGTAAGAATGCAAGATTTTGCATTACAAAAATTGATTGCAATTTCATGATACAAGCGTGGTTACAGAGAAAAACTGGAAAAACAGTAACTACAGCAGTCAGATGTACTTGCCAATAAATGTCTTTGCTGAGATTGGGTCTGTCTAGCTTTCAGCATTTGTTTTGTTCAAATTTTATATAAAGAAAGGCAGAGCTCTGGGGGAGTCTTTGAGTGATTGAGTCACCATCCCTGGAGATGTTCAAGAAACATTTAGATGTTGTACTAAGGGACATGGTTTAGAGGGGAAATATTGGTGGCACATGT